ATAACTCCTCCCTACCTGCCTGCTGAGGAGCATCTACCTGGTGCCTCTTAGACCAAACTGCCTTATAAAGTGGCCTCAACAGGGAGTAATGGTCTGCATTTGCCAAAGTTAACAGGGTGACCATACCTGTCACAAATGTCCAAGTGCCCACACTGCTCTCCCTAGCTGAAACAACTATCTCTGATTCCCCTCCGCCTTCTCCCATTTTCTCTTCCACCTTCATGCAAATGTGTCATTAGCCAACAAAGCTTACGACCATACTTGGTGGCTCTAGTTAGCGTAACTGTAAAGGAAGGGAGGATGCAATGAGTTTCCACATCATGCCTTGCAAATGCTTTTCCACACTTGCACACTGGACTCTCAAATGATACCCGCTCCAAAAACAAGCAGGATTTATACTTTCTAGTTTGCCCCAAAGATAAAAAAACTAGGCAAGAATAAGTGAATTGCTTGGTATAGTAATCCAGACTCATTTTTCCGGTTACAGAAGCCCAATTTTAAAAATGCCAATTTAGTATTTCATTTTCCTAGGTGTGTCCAAGGCCAGGTGAAGTGATTTCAAGAAAAAACATAATAAAAATCAGAGATCAAGTGATGATATCAAAGACCACTATTAGTTGTCTGTCATCCATGGTTTCACTCATTCTCTCCTGCTATGTGGAATTTAAGATGGTCAATGACAGCTTGGTGCTTACTCATACAGTCCCAACGGAAATATACAAACAAGAGAAATGATTTTTCTCTTTCAATGTTGGTGTATTAGGGAAGGAGTGATTGGTGTAGGCATCCACCAGTCACTGTTCCCAAGGACTCCAGTGCAACGCAGAACATGATTCCATCCCAAGGCCAGGATTGTAGAATGCAGTCACAAGTTTTCCTGTGTCTTGCGCAGCTGCACCATCCCTCAGTTGCTTATAAAATAATCATTCAGAAGCTTATAGTAATTATAACTGCTTGGCCATTAGCTCAGCCTTATTACTGACTAACTCTTACACTTAAATTAACCCATAATTCTTATCTATGTTTAGCCACATGACTTGGCGACTATTCTCAGTTCTGCCTTGTCATCTTGCTTCCTCTGTGTCTGGCTGGCAACTTCTGACAGTCTTCCTCTTCCCAGAATTCTCCTTGTCTACTTCTCCCACATATATTTCCTGCCTGGCTACTGGCCAATCAGCATTTTATTTATCAACCAATCAGAACAACACACATTCACAGCATACAGAACAACATTCCACAGCAGTGGAAACTATGACTGATAGTCCTGATGGAGACATGGCTTTGGGAAATGTCCACCAAAAGGTGTGCATGACAACACAAATCAAAAACAGTCTAGAACATGTGCCAGTCCAGCTGCCCTAGACTACAGCTCCTTCTATGGTTTGCTTTGTTACTCTTGTTCCACATTTAAAAACTATTCACATATAAAGCAGTCTTGGCTGTATTTCCTGACGCTAGTCATTGACTAAATAATTGTTCAGTGGCTATTTTCAAAAATCATTTGTAAGTGTTTGTTTTTTTTAATTGTTTTATCTTATTGTATGGGGTGTTTTTCCTACCTGTATGTCTATGCATCATATGCATGCCTAACACCTGAGGAGGCCATCCATAGAGGGCAAGGCCTTGTGCTGCTTCAGTTTGAATTCTGGAAGATCATAATGATTAGCAAGAACGTTCATCCCTCCTGAGAGCCAACTTCCTGCCATACCTAATCTTTCCTCTCTTTCTCTCTGCTTGCCCATGCCTGCCCCCTCTCTCCTAGGCTCTGTCTGTGACACCTGTGCAACCTATCAAGAAATGGGACTGCCAGAAGACTATGGATATGATACTCAATGAGATTAAGCAGGGGAAATTCCAAAACCCCATGTCCATTGCTCAAATTCTCCCCTCCTTGAAAGGCAAGACTTACCTAGATGTGCCCCAAGTAAATTGTGGTTCTGGTAAGAACTTTTCAATGGCTTTCCCTTTTATAACATAAATTGCTACTTAAAGTACAATGGCATGTGGCTTGATGTTGAGTGGAATATTAGATTGTTTTGTCAATTCATCCCAGATAGGTAGAGCTATGATCTCCAATCCACAAGCATGTGTACTAGCCCATAGCCAAAGAGCCTAGCTTAAGAATTCAGTTCCTTATATGAACACCAACTTTAATGAGGTAGATGGCCTGTGATCACAACAGGGAGCTTCATTCATTTGAAAAATGTACTGCCAAACATCACACATGTCTCATCTGCTCTTTACAAAGTCAAAAGAGAGACATGCAGATGAAACTACAGACTTTACAGTAATGAAATCAGTATTAAATAGGAATCTACATTCATCTACATCACAAAGGCAAAAAGAAGAAGAGAAGGAAGAAGGAGAGGAGGAGATGAATAATCAATTGTTGATTTTATTTGAAGGGCTGAAAAGGAACAAATGAAATTCACTCAAGCCTTAAGGATGTAATAATGACAGCCTGACACTCACAGAACACCAACAGGATGAGGTAGAAGCATAACATGTTACTTTGTAGCATTTTGTATCCAATCAAATACAATACTGAAATATTTAAAATTCCTATTGCCCATAAAGAGCCTTCCTAAAACTTTTGTCACTCCAGAAAAAGTCTCTGAAATCAACTCCTTCAATTCTTTTTATTCTTATCAAATACTTCCGCTTGCATCCACTAGTTAGTTTCATATGACAAGAAGAAACTATAAGCGCCTCATAGACTTCAGTGCCGAATCTACAGGAGCCAAACTCAAGCAAGCCCACTGCCACCGTGTGAAACACCTTAGCCTGACTCCCTGTGCTGCTGCCCAGTGACAGCACAAGTCTAACACGGAGTCCTTGTTAGACAACTTCTGGAATAGTTGTCCCAGTATTTTGTTGAATAGCCTAAAGGTTACTATTTTCTTGAAATCTTTTCTGGGATAAGTTCCTGATAACAATGACTTTTGCATCCCTCACTCAAACACCAAAATCTTTAATAAGCTTGGCCTTTTTGCCCTCACAGATCATGAAGTGCCACCAACTCTAACTGACTATCCTACTCCCGTCCCCCCCTCACCATCTAACATTACCGTCATATACACCATAAACAACCAGCTGAAGGGGGTTGATCTGCTCTTCAACAAGACCATTGAAGTTAGTGTGAAAAGAGGATCTGTACTACTTGTTGTCCTTGAAGAAGCGCAGCGCAAAAACTCCATGTTCAAGTGAGTGGTGCAAGTGATGTCACCATCCCCCAAGATGGACTCAAATTCCCATGTATTCTCTCTCCCTCCCCCATCTCTTCTCTCTCCCTCTTTCCTTGTTTCCCTCCCTCCCCCCTCCTCCTTAAGATCATGCAACATGTACCTAACAGAGTTCAGAAACAAGCATGGATTTGACTGTCTTTGAAATTCATATTTATACCTACTGTCCTGTTAAGAAAGAGTAGTATGTGGAAATGGATCAGAGGGGAGAATTAAATGAAATGTTAACCATTTGCAAAAAGGGGAATCAATATAGAAAAATAGGGAGATCACAGTAGCTAAGGGAACATGCTAATTCATGGGAGAAAAAGAGGACACATGATATGCAAACCTTCTGGATATACTTTACAAGTTTAGCATTTAATAATGATTTTTCTTCTGTCTGTAAATATGAAAACGACACACGATACATAATAGAAACTTGGAGAGAGAGAAAAAACACGAAGAATAAATTGCCTTCACAACCATAATATAATCAGTTATTTAATAATCTGGTAGACTTTTTTTCTATGCATAGTGCAAACAGTTGTGATTCTTCATATTCATTTGCTGGCATATGTTTATCTAAAATCTGAGTCCTTAATTTTTTAAAATATATTTTATGTTTAATTATATGAGTAATGCGTATGTGCATGTTAGTGTAGGTACCTAATGAGGCCAAAGACACCAGACACCATGCTTCTTTGAAGACAGTCCTCTGAGAATTTGGACATCGCCAAAGTTGATCAATAATAGAACACATCCCCAAATGATCCTCATGCACACTGTCGTCTATGATGGCTATTCCTTTTATTGCCATGTAATATTCTATAGGGGAGAACCTTGGGCACTAACTGAGCCATGGAGATGTATGTAAGAGTAGAAATGTTTTATTGTACATATATGAAGGGACTCATTAGTCTGGAGTCCTCACCAAACCAAACAGAAATTAACCCATGGAATCTGGCAAATGCATACTGTGTAAACTAAACTGTTTGTTCTAAATAACATATCCATAAAACATGACTATCTAAATATGGAAATACCTATCAACCTACTCAAGTGAAAATATAAAGAAAGACCCCTTTATCTATTAATTGAAATTCCATTTTAAGTGGCATGATTATATACTCATTACTCATTTGCATTTTCTCTTTTAAACATTATTTGCATCTGCTCTTTAAAGCATTTGAACATCTGTCCTCCATCTTGCCTCCTGTTGCCTGACTTCAACTGAGGTGATAACTATTTACATTTTATTCTTAGATTTGAAACCAGAATGACATCTTGGGGCCTTCTTGTCTTTTCTATCAACAATATCGCTGAAAATGTTAATCACAAGACATACTGGGAGTTCCTTAGTGGCAAAACACCTTTGGATGAAGGTAAGAAAAGCAAAGGAATATGATTTTCTTCTAGTTGCAAGGCTACATTTATGAATTCCTTAATTAATGTACTTGACAAATGTGATGCTATACATGCTTATGATAAGGATATACATAGGAACTGAGTGTCATATGTAGTCATTACATAAATTGCAATTTTTAGTGACTCTCTTTATAGGAAGGTAACTAAATCCAAGAGATGTAATGTGAATTATATACATTGGTGATGAACTCCAAGTAACCAATAATGCATAAGTATAGCATTAAGTAAAGAAATAAAGCAATCCCCCTTGGGGCCACTTTAACAAGAGCAAGTCCAGATTTGACTGTTGCATGAGTGTGAATCTGTGCCTGCCTGAAGAAGACTGTCTTGTCAGTCTGTCTGGCCTGTGTGTGCTGTGTGCACCTGTCATGTGTCTCTGTCTGTGAGTCTGTGCCTCCCAAAGGACTTTGCTCTGTGTCTATTGAACAGCACAGAGAGTATCACTTGAGGAAAAAATGAGATACTTTATAGAAATCTTTAACAGTAATACAAATATCATCAATGTTTACAAACCAATTTCCATAAATGGATGCTTTCAAACTTTATGGTAGATTTTAGGAAGTTGCTTTCAACTTCTGTATTTGCTGCTTTCAGCAAATGATACACATGCATTGTTCTGGGTAAGAGGCATGGAAGAGTATATAACTTAAGAACTTAATATTACATCTATGCATTATCTTGGGTTGTAAAAGTTGATTACATGAGAAATTCAAGGCAAGTATGTTGATTCTTATACTGTTCTCAGAAAGGCAGGTTAAGTAAACAGGCTGAGTACTCAGTAAGGTAACAGTCTTAAATATTAAGTGACCTCAAGTTATATTATTAACCCTACCAGTGAGGTCCAGCAAAAATTCCAGTCTCTTAGAATGCAAGAGATTTTCATAATATCACATCATCATGAGATGTCAAAGTGACCTGTATGAAACACAAGCCTAGAATTTAACAGAACAGACAACCAAGTCCAGGTTCCCAAACTCTAGAACAAGTGAGCTTTCTAACATAGCTTCATCAAAAATTCAGCCCTCACCATCTGTTTAGTCTCTCACAGAAGGAATGTTGTGATGGCATTTATGTGGTAAATACAAGCTAATATAGTGAAACTCAGATTCCAGCAAAACCTTAATTTTTCTGAATGTTTTGCATAAATGCTGAAACATCTTCCCACTTAAAGAGCACTGAGGCATGCTTTTGTCTAAGTCTCAGGTTGACCTGACATTGATTGTTACCATGAGGAGGACTGTAAACCAGAGTCACAGGAGGCCAGTGCTGTATCCTGCAGGCTCCATCCTCCAGTTTCACCATGGGAGAGATGTTTTGCTTGTCATCTACCATATAGTTAGGAAAAACTGGCCAGTCAGAATTCATGAGCTGCAGCAACAGGCTTTGTAAAAAGCTCTTCTCATAGTCATAATCTACATTAGACAAATAAGGAATCCGTCTCTATAGCAATAAAATGGAAATACCACTCCCTGGGTTGTTGTAAGGATTAGAAAAACTGTTTACAAATATTAACTACAATATCTTTTGCAGATTATGTGTTCAAAACACTGTTATTATTGTCATTTCTCCCACCACCTTGATCTCAAGAAATCATTCTGAAATTTTAAAGGGATTCTTCCCCTTGTCTGCCAATTACTCCCCTTCTCTGGGAACAAGGACAGTAAAAGTAAAGACATCAGATTCAAAAATATTTGGGCATGAAATTGTCATACTTCCTGTTGCCTGAACACCTAAAAGATAAAAGATATCAACATCATCTATCCTTCTTATCCTGGAAGATTCTCAGCCTACTGCCCCTCCCATTTCTTACAAAATCTTCCAAAAATAAGTGAAATTCTCCCTTAAATACTTTAATTAGAGCTATTTATTGCATGATTCCTATGTGGCAGATATTGTTTCTGATACTAAACATAACATTTCAGAGAAAATATTTAACAAAATTTTCTACATGAAAGAAAAGAGACTGGCACATCTTAAGTGGTTCCCCCAACGACAAGATCCATAAAATGGCAAACTAAAGGCTGAAAAGAGAAATCCATAGATATTTATAAAGCAAAATAAAAGGCAAAGACAAGAGGAAAATAAAGTATCTTTACCAAAAAGAAGAGGAGGAGGAGGGAGGGAGGGAGAGAAGAAGGGAGGGAGGTAGAGAGAGGGGGAAGCCACCCCACCCGTCCTAGGGTCTGGAGAGATGGCTTCACAGTTAAAAGCACCTACTGCTCTTGCAGAGGACCCAGCACCCATATCAGATGACTCACAACAGCCTGTAATCACAGTTCCTCTTCTGGCTTCCACCAGCACCTTCACACATGTGGTACACACACACACACACACACACACACACACACACACACACA